GCGGCACTGGAGGAGGCTGCAAGATCCGGGTTGTCTGTTTCAGCAGCCAGCATTACCCACGCAGTGAACGGAGGGGTGGGGTTCAAGCTGGACTCCCTGGCCCCCTCCACTTTCTGTATCGGGGGCGTCAAGTGAGGCTGAGAGGAACAGTGACTACAGCAGCTTGTTCCCCAAATCTGTGTGTGGACACGTGCGTGTGCACTAGAGCATCACGGTGTGCAGCATGTATACCCTGGTCCCACATGCAGTCTCGGTGTGTGGGCACGTGCGTGTGCACTAGAGCATCACGGTGTGCAGCATGTACACCCTGGTCCCACATGCAGTCTCGGTGTGTGGGCACGTGCGTGTGCGTGTGCACTAGAGCATCACGGTGTGCAGCACGTACACCCCTGCCCGCATGCAGTCTTGGTGTGTGGGCACGGGCGTGTGCGTGTGCACTAGACCATCACGGTGTACAGCATGTCCACCCCTGCCCCGCATGCAGTCTCGGGGTGGGGGCACGGGCGTGTGCGTGTGCACTAGACCATCACGGTGTACAGCATGTCCACCCCTGCCCCGCATGCAGTCTCGGGGTGGGGGCACGGGCGTGTGCGTGTGCACTAGACCATCACGGTGTACAGCATGTCCACCCCTGCCCCGCATGCAGTCTCGGGGTGGGGGCACGGGCGTGTGCGTGTGCACTAGACCATCACGGTGTACAGCATGTCCACCCCTGCCCCGCATGCAGTCTCGGGGTGGGGGCACGGGCGTGTGCGTGTGCACTAGACCATCACGGTGTACAGCATGTCCACCCCTGCCCCGCATGCAGTCTCGGGGTGGGGGCACGGGCGTGTGCGTGTGCACTAGACCATCACGGTGTACAGCATGTCCACCCCTGCCCCGCATGCAGTCTCGGGGTGGGGGCACGGGCGTGTGCGTGTGCACTAGACCATCACGGTGTACAGCATGTCCACCCCTGCCCCGCATGCAGTCTCGGGGTGGGGGCACGGGCGTGTGCGTGTGCACTAGACCATCACGGTGTACAGCATGTCCACCCCTGCCCCGCATGCAGTCTCGGGGTGGGGGCACGGGCGTGTGCGTGTGCACTAGACCATCACGGTGTACAGCATGTCCACCCCTGCCCCGCATGCAGTCTCGGGGTGGGGGCACGGGCGTGTGCGTGTGCACTAGACCATCACGGTGTACAGCATGTCCACCCCTGCCCCGCATGCAGTCTCGGGGTGGGGGCACGGGCGTGTGCGTGTGCACTAGACCATCACGGTGTACAGCATGTCCACCCCTGCCCCGCATGCAGTCTCGGGGTGGGGGCACGGGCGTGTGCGTGTGCACTAGACCATCACGGTGTACAGCATGTCCACCCCTGCCCCGCATGCAGTCTCGGGGTGGGGGCACGGGCGTGTGCGTGTGCACTAGACCATCACGGTGTACAGCATGTCCACCCCTGCCCCGCATGCAGTCTCGGGGTGGGGGCACGGGCGTGTGCGTGTGCACTAGACCATCACGGTGTACAGCATGTCCACCCCTGCCCCGCATGCAGTCTCGGGGTGGGGGCACGGGCGTGTGCGTGTGCACTAGACCATCACGGTGTACAGCATGTCCACCCCTGCCCCGCATGCAGTCTCGGGGTGGGGGCACGGGCGTGTGCGTGTGCACTAGACCATCACGGTGTACAGCATGTCCACCCCTGCCCCGCATGCAGTCTCGGGGTGGGGGCACGGGCGTGTGCGTGTGCACTAGACCATCACGGTGTACAGCATGTCCACCCCTGCCCCGCATGCAGTCTCGGTGTGTGCCCATGTGCGTGTGCGTGTGCACTAGAGCATCACGGTGTACAGCATGTACACTCCTGCCCGCATGCAGTCTCGGTGTGTGGGCACGTGCGTGTGCACTAGAGCATCACGGTGTACAGCATGTACACTCCTGCCCGCATGCAGTCTCGGTGTGTGGGCACGTGCGTGTGCACTAGAGCATCACGGTGTACAGCATGTACACTCCTGCCCGCATGCAGTCTCGGTGTGTGGGCACGTGCGTGTGCACTAGAGCATCACGGTGTACAGCATGTACACTCCTGCCCGCATGCAGTCTCGGTGTGTGGGCACGTGCGTGTGCACTAGAGCATCACGGTGTACAGCATGTACACTCCTGCCCGCATGCAGTCTCGGTGTGTGGGCACGTGCGTGTGCACTAGAGCATCACGGTGTGCAGCATGTATACCCTGGTCCCACATGCAATCTCGGTGTGTGCGCATGTGCGTGTGCGTGTGCACTAGAGCATCACGGTGTACAGCATGTACACCCCTGCCCCGCATGCAGCCTTGGCATGTGCCGTTCACAGTGTCCTGACTGTGGAAGGCTGGTGGGTTTTAGTGTTAAATCACCGTTTTGAGCTCATTCTTGTTAAGGGCCGCATCGGGCAGCTTTTCCTACCCCTCAAGGATGAGGGGAGGGGTGGCAGGGCCAGGCCTGGCTTTAGGCTTTAAGTGAGCCCACTGAGCAAACGGGCCAAAGGCCTCCACCCAGGAGGGCCCCTCTGGGGCCCCGGCCTACCTTGACCACGGCTCAAACAGAGCTCCAGTTGTGAAGTCGGAGAAACCTGGGTTTGAGTCCTGGTTTCCCCATCTCCTAGTTGTGAACCTTTGGCAAACTGCTAAACCCCTCTGTCTGCTATTATCACTCCTGATGGGCTAAGTATGG